CCCTCTTCCACTCCTGCCCTCAGATAAAACCTGAAGCTAACTAGTGCTAAGATTTCAATGTCCTAATCTGCATATCACCCCACACTGTAGCTGGGCTCTTCGGGGCCTCTGGATCCCTTTCTGGACAGCCAGGCTCAGGCCCCAGGTTCACTGGGTCTTCTGCCTCTATAGGAGTTGAATTACTAACTCAGGCCCCAGAGGACTTTCTGATGGGAAGGTACCTGACATTCCACAAGGCTGAAATGGTCCAGGTTCAGAGCAGCCAAATTTTTTGCCTGGTTTTTCTGTGAATTGGGGGAGAAAGGCATTTTCCAGCTTGCTTAGATGACCACAAACTGTCGTGGTGACTCTGTGGGGAACATCTCAAAGGCGGATTATAATCGAAACCAGGCATCTGAAAAAACTGGGGATTTCTTCCTAGACAGCTGGTTCTCAAAGTGTGGTTCCCAGACCAGCAGCATCAGCATCAGCATCACCATCACCTGGGAACTAACTGGTTAGGAATGCAAATTAGGGGGCTGCACCCTGGACCTACTGAATCAGAAACTCTGGGGGTAGGACCCAGTCATCTAACAGGTCCTCCAGGTCTGATGCACCCTCAAGTTTGAGAATGTCTATTCTGCAGGTTTCTAAATTCCACTGCCAGAGAAAGGAAGTATGTACTCTCACTGTGTTCTGCTCATGCCCATAACTGGTGTTTTTGTCCTTAGTATGACTTAAGGGCATGTGCCAGGTCCATATAACTTCAAAGTTTCTTGTTCTTTATATCCTGAACCCAAGGAAACACATTCCTTTTTCTCTGCAAGCTGAAGAAAGATGAAATATAGCCCAATGTTCCCCCAACAGAAAGATTTATTAATTTGTACTAATGACTGTTTAGAGAAAAACATAGAAACCAATGTCCTTGTTGAATGCTCCTTCTTGAGGGCAAAATGTGGATGTTATCTGTAAAATCAACAAATTTGTCACCAAAGTGAAATGTTATCTTTTCCTGAGGACTTTCCCAGGCAGCTCAAGGCCTCAATGACCAGATAGCCTCCCCTCTCCCCATGATCAGATGAAGAGAGTTAGAGCTTGCAGCCATAACTCAAATGCTTTAAGACAGCTCAGCGGTGTGTTTATTTTCAGGTTAGGAGCTTTGCTCAGACCCAGCTAAAGAAAGGAGACCATGAACCTGTTCAAAGACTCAAAGAATCCCCACAGACCTTTGCTTCCTTATCAGTGTGTGCTTAAGTGCTTAACAATCTGCATATATATGTGTGCCTATATGTATATATATATATATATATATATATACATATATATCTTTATTATAAATGTGTAGCACATGATTTACAAATAATAAAACATACCATATTCATTATTGTAAATTTCATATAGCCAATTAGCTCTCATAGTCACACTTTACATGATTTCTGTCTAACTCTTGTATCCATAGCCAACCTAAGGTGGCAATTAACAAACAGTTGTTCTGACATGAGTATTGGTTTACATTAGTGAATAAGGCAAAAAGTGAAAGAACAAAATACATGTCAAAATTTCTCTGGTTCAGGTCAGTGATGTAAGTGACTTCTTTACTAAATCAGACAATAGTTTTAAAACACTGGAATGATATTTCCTCAATTTTTTGTGCTATTTACAATGCAGCAGCTACAGAGACAACACAATTTTAATTTCATCTGAGCTGTTAACATTTTCTCTATCACTTTCTTAAGCCTATAGCAGGGGTTGTCAAACAATTTTTGTTAAAGAGCCAGATAATAAATATTTTAGGCTTTGTGGCCACATATTCTTTTTCATTTTTTTTTACAACCATTTAAAATGTACGAACCATTCTTGGCTTGTGAGATATACAAAAACAGGCTGTGAGGGGGAAATTCTTGACTCCTGGTCAAGACAATCAACAAAACAATAGATTAAGCACTGATTTGTAGCGTTTGCCAATTTCCGTGATGTGAATACTCCTACTATGGCCTATTTTTTTCAAACTACCAACTTGATGTCACTGAATGTGGAGTTGAAGAGAGACGTGCAGTGGCAAAACATTATATAGTATTAAATATTTTCACTACACTAATACGAAAGACACAAGTAACCTCAGGAGCACGATGATAGTAAAGTGTAGTAAAATAATTAGGAAGGGATGAGTTTTAAGTATTCGTTAACTTTGTTTTTAATATGATTTATGTAATTGTAAGTTTATATCATTTAATTTTTAATAATGGCTGTATTTAACAACCAGCTCTCAAAATTAATAATTGGCTCTTGTGGATTGGTATGAGCACACAAAATTTCAACCTGGTGTTTTTCTTGGGGGGTGGGTAGATAAAAAGACAATCTTCACTCAATTTGGTCCATTATTCCCTGTAACAAAAGGATTTACTACAGGGTTTCTTTGAAGCTGGGAGTTTCCCTGGCTCTTCTAAAATAGGAAATGATTTTAGATGTTATTTTTACATATTTTCAAAAAGATGCCTGTCTCTATTCTCAACAGCTTCCTGACCACCTTTTGCTTCCAAATAATGAGAACTATTTAAAGGAAAAAGGAACTACTGTGGTGTGGTTTTAAGAAAAGCACATACTTTGCTCTTTCAGAAGTAGTTACACAATAGCTCTGCTCATAAACTTGGGAAGAGTTAAAATAGCTTTCCATGGCCTTCCCAAGGCTGTGATTTTCCTCTCATCGGCTAAGGTAATGCCACTTGTGCTCATACATTTATTCAAGTATTTGAGTACGTATCATCTGCCAGCCACTGTGCTGAGCCCTGGGGACACAGCAGAATGCAAGAGAGACATGGTCCCTGCTGAATAAATAATTATGCAGATCATTATTTACTTATACTTTTCATGAGTACCTAAAGGAGAACATATAACATAGGGGCCTGACCTATGTTCAGGTTCAGGATGTGACATTTAACCTGATACCTAAAGAATGAGTAAAAAGGCAGGCAAAGGAAGAGGCAGAAGGAAGTAGAACAGCCTTCTCCCCAGGTGATGTGAACAGCCTATATGTAAGATGCTTGCATGAAGTACAGGTACACACACAGTACATAAACAGATATACAGTATACATCTTTGGTATTAATATTTCATTGGGGGAGAAATTAGGAAAAAAATGTTCAAAAAAGCTCCAGGGGGGTTGATAATTTTTTAAAAACAACATTGAGAAACATTGGTCTGTATAAAGAACTGGGTGCTCTTGAGCTATTACAGTAGCAGTGGCAGAGCTATGATGCTGACCTCCTCCCATGAGGACTGACTACGTGCCTGCAGGCTCCAAACCCTGGTATTAAGACAGGAAGTTAGAGGATTCATGGTTTCCAGCAACTCTGGAAAATTTCCTCTATCATCTTTCAAATACTGCCTCTTCCCCAAAGCCTTTACTCTCTCCTCCTGGAACTTCTCATTCTATCTTCCAAGTAGCTTAACTTCTCTTTCATGTTTTCCATCTCTTTATTACTCTGTACTGCATTCTGGATAATTTCCTTAGATCTATCTTCTGTCTCACTCATCCTCTCATTAACTGTGTCTGGTTTGTTTAATCCCTCTATCGAATGCCACTTTTTCCATTGCAATGCCTGTTTTTTGATTCTTTTTCACATTCACCTATATTTTTCAAATCACTCTATTCTTGCCTTATAGCTCCCATTCCTTTTGAAAATCTCTTTGAACATTTTAAGCATACTCATTTTAAGGTCCTTTCAGATTTCTCTATTAGCTGTAGTTCCTAAGGTATGAATTCTCCCATTTGTTGCACCAGTCTCATGGTGGTTTATTTTCTCATGGACTTAGCAAGTTTTAGCTGTGTGTTCATCTTCAGAGGCATAGTTACAAACACAGACTCATGTGCTATCCTGCTTGGGTTTAAATTCTGGCTCTGCTGCTTAGTAGCTCTGTGACCTTAGATAAACTACTTAATCTCTCTGTTCTTTAATTTCAGTATCTGTAAAATAGGGCTGTTCTAAGAATGAGTTAACATAAGCAAAGCACTTAGGACAGCGTCTGGCACATAATTAAGCAACTTGGTGAGTGTTATTATTACTGTTGTTTGGCAGGAATTGTTTTACCTTGGAATCTTTCATACTCTGGGTTATGTGACTCTCCACTCTCAGCTCAAAGTGGCTAGTACACTTCTGAACTGTGTTTTTCCCCCCATCCCCCATTACGGGCCAGCCCTTCCCATTTCTAACTTTCTGTGGGAGCTCAGATCCCAGTCCCATCCTCACCCTTTGATTAAAACGCTTCACCCAGAACACACAACCACTTTTAATCATGCATTAGGCTGTGTAGCTATGATTTCTGCTCACTGCTGTGGCTTTGAGCCTCCTCCTCACTTCTGGCACTAGGACGTGTTTATTTTTGCTTTTGATCTCTACTACATATTTAACTTTTTTAAAAAAAAATATGTTTGGAGTGGGGGAGGAGCTTCCTGCAGCAGCTCAGACAACCATAATGACCAACGATCCCTGAACATTCTTTCTAAAGAGACTTATCTCTCATTTGGCAGTGGGATCCTTGAGAGAACCTGGGACGAAGGCTAGATTCCTTGAGGGAAGGGACATGTTTTATTTATTTTTGTATTTTTGTATTCTCTGTGCCTGATATGCTCAACATATGTTTACTGAATTAAGAAATGAATGCCTACGTTGGCAACAGCAAGCACTACAAGTGGCCAGCTCATTGCTTGGTTTCTCTAAGAATTACCACCACCGTGATGTGACTCCCGCCTTGTTCCTGTGAATAAGTTCTGTCAAAGTGATATAATTTCTAGCAAATGAAAATAGGTATCATTCAATCAGTGACTATCTCAAGGGTGAGGACCAGATGTGAGTTTCTTTTACTCTCTAAGCAAAATATCAAACTGGGAAACACTGCAGAGGCCACAGATTATTCTGACTTTCAGACTGTTGTTTTTAAAGCACCAGACTAAAATGTTAAGCAGGTAGCTGATGCAATCTGGCACAGTAAGTGTATAGCTCTATTTATATAAAGACACACACATATATCAGGCCATCAGCAGTATTTGTATAAACAGTGACTCTCCTATGAAGGTAAAGGCCACCCCCTCCTTCAGTTCCAGGGACTGAGATACATTTTTCCAATCCTGGGGGCAAATACAGACGCAGCAAGTTCCTTCTTCCCTTTGGAAATTTGGCAGGTATGGCAGCTCTGCCTCTGTTGCCACATTCTCTCAGGATTTTATGACTCTGTGCACATGGCCTGTGTGAAGGCTTTGCTTAGGTCACCTTACGCCTTGGCAGCCAGCATGGTGTATGACGATTCAGGAAGACCCTGGTGTTTCCCAGATGGGGCGAGATCTGGCTGTGCAATTACTGCCCTCCAGCTGGGAAATGTGACGTGGAGGTGATGAAGTGGCTGCTGAGAAGGAGGCAGTTTGACTCTGAATTTGGTCTGTTCTTTATTTAAATCTAAAGATTAAACACACGCACACATGTATAAAATCAATCTCTCTCTCTCTCTCTCTCTCACACACACACACACACACACACACACACACACACATACACACCATTCCCCAATTGCATGGGGTATTCTTTAGGAATTCAATTCAAGTGGGATTTCCCTGAACACATATTTCCCAATCTAATCACTTACTCTTTTCCCTGTTTACTTGCCATCTCATCATTCTCTCTTCCTTTGCTCTTCTACTTATTTCCTTATCATTGATTTTAACCATCTGGGTATCCCCATTAAGTCAGATGGTCAGTTTAGGGCCCTTTGGGAAAGTGACAGGGACCCTAAATCCATTTCCAGTATGAGCTGCTTTGCTTCATTCTCTCCCATGGCCACAGAGAAGCCTGTCTCTGGACCTTGATTCTGAGAGGAGACAGATTCTCAGAAGCTGCTCTATCACGGGTAACACAATGCTACTCTCATGGTGGGCATTCTTGTTTATAAAGGAGAGTACTGGAATAAATTTTGTCCTAATCCAAACAGCTCTAATAACTCATCCTTCCTTCCATCAATATACAGTTCTCTGTTACTACAGAGGCAGCAGGGAATGAACATGGGCTCTATATTTAGACAGACTTGGGTTCAAGTCCCAGCTTCAGCAGTTAACGGCTGGGTCACCCTGGGAAAGTTGCTTACCCTCTCTGAGCCTCTGTTTGTTCATCTGTTAAATTGGAATCAAATAGAATATACAGATGGTCCCCAACTTGCGATGGTTTGACTTACAATTTTTCAACTTAACAATGGGTTTCTCGGGATGCAGCCCCATCCTAAGTCAAGGAACATTTGTATATTCAGAGCACTGGACACATAATAGGTGCCCTATAAATAATAGAAACAATTACTATGATTATTTGAATGATTACCACAGCCCTTGGTCCTTCCTGTCTCACCAAAGTCAGAGATGATCAGAGCGTATTCTCTCCCAGTTGAAAGGAGGACTCTAAAGATGAACAAAGCATCTTCTCACACTCAGTCAAGTGATAGCTCTGAGCCACTGAGTGCTCGGCACAGCAGTAGCTCTCTAGGAGGCTCTAGGAGAAACCATGGGCAGATCTATTTCTGCTCTCAAGGGACCCCAGCCATCCAAAGGAGCAGATAAGATGAAAATGTAAATGTTAGTGGGCAATAAAACTAGTATAAGCTAAATTATTCCCTGTAGACCACAAGTGCTATGGAAATTCTGGGGTGGGGGTTGCTGCTGTGATTGGGAAGTCTTCCTGGAGGAGGCAGGACTTGAGCTGAGACTTAAAGAAAGAACAAGATTTGTAGTGACCCTTAGAAGAAGTGGGAGCTCTGTAGGCAAGTACTGGACAAACTTGAGAGGTAGACACAATTTTTCTTCCATTTTACAGAGAAGAAAATGGAAGGTCATAGTAACTTCTCCAACATCACTCAGCAAGTAATTGGCAGTGCTGAGATTTAAGTAGAGAATCTGTCTCTGTGTGGTGTTGAAGGTTGTATTAAAAACTGGCTCCGATGGAAGACAGGTGGGCTTTTGCTGGAAAGTAAGACATTGCCATTGATGGTTTTCCAGAGAGGAGTGACATGATGAAGGCAGGATGTTTTCCATTTTCACGGCACAGCAGCTGTTCTGGGGAAGATTCTGGCACTAGAGGGGTCAATTAGGAAGCAGTTGCAATAATTTAGGGGTGAGGCATTGAAGGCGTTACCCAGGGTAGGAGCATAGTGGGACTAGACAAGACATTAAGCCAACGAGGCATGTTAAAGGGCAAATTCACAGACTTGAGAACTGACTGAATATGGAGAACGAAGGACAGGGGTTGGCGGGGGAGGTGGGTTAAGCATCTGGTCTGGGGACCAGAAGACAGGGAGATACTGCTGCTAGGCATATTAGGAAGACAAGCTCATTTTAAGGTTCCTGTTTATATAAAACAGGGCCTGGTTTCTTTTATTACTATTCCTATTAAATCTTTTTATTGAAAAAATACTATATACCATGAGGAAACAAACAGACAAATTCAGAATATGAAATATTCTACAGCACGACTAGCCTGAACTCTTCAAAAAGTCAATGTCACACTCAAAAAATGGGAGCATGCACTGTTCTGGATTAAATGACACTAAGGATAAGTAAATGCAATGTCATAAGCCTTGGTTTTGGATTCCGGATATTTGAAAAAACTACAAAAGACATTTGTAGGATATTGGGATAATTTGAATATGGATTGGAAATTAGATGATATTAGGAGATTATTGTTTATTTTCTTAGGTGTGATAATGGCTTGTGGTTAGGAGGGAGAATCCTTTTACTCTTTGGAGAATCATTCTGAAGAATTTCGGGGGGGGAGTATGTCATGGGGCCTGTGACCTTCAAGTATTTCAACAAAGAAAAAAATATATATGTAAATAGATTGACTCATAGAACTATACAGTAAATACGTTAAAATGTTAATTGTGGAATCTTGGTGAGTATATGTGTGTTCATTTTCTACTTTTTTATCTCTTTTCATGTTTGAAATTTTTCAGAATAAAACTTGGGGAAAAAAATAATACATGAACGTAGTAAAAAGTTAAAATAGTATGAAAGGGTATGCAGGGAACCTTTCTATCCCAGATACCTGGTACTCCTTCCTAGATGCAACCACTGCTCACATTTCTTGAAATTTTATCTGCATTTACAAGCCTATATACGTATTTGTAGATCCTTTTAAAAAATAGGTTCATACTATAAATATTTTTGTTAGCTACAATAGGCTCTCTCTTATCTATGCAACTGGGGGAGTAGTTGGTCAGATAATTAAAAATCAGTTAAAGTAGAAATGCCCTAACCCACTAGAGAGAGGTGTCCAAGCCTATCCAGGGTGCTGTGGGCATCAGTCGGTGTGTTTTACAGAGGAAATGAAGAGCATCCCTTAATCCTGAGAGTTGGCTCCGCAGAGGTCAGTTATGCGAGCTTTCACTGCAATGGTGGCAGCTTGCTTTTTTTTTCTCACTTCGGGAGCCTTCTAGGAGATTGTTCCATATGGCCAAGTGTGGATCTGCCCCATTCTTTCAGCACGGTTTTTAGGATGAGTATGGTTTTAATCATTTTGTGCTTCAGATGATAGTGGGACATCTGGGTAGAAAAAAATTGCTGAGGCTTCCTGAACTTGTCTGATCACAACGATCACTTGGGTATTTGTCTAACAAGCTCTCAAACTTGAGCAATGCTGCCATAAGCAGTAGGACAACCAGGACTGGGGATTCAGTGACAGGACTGCTCTGAGAAATGGAAGTTCCACTAATGGTGCTAGTTAAAGGCATGAGAATAGACAGAGAAGGCAAGATGCCAGAGAAGTGCTGAAGTCCAAGGACAGAGCCGACAAACTCCCATATGAGCTTCCGCCCCCTGCTGCTCCCCACCAAAGATGATTGCCTCCTGTTGCAATCATGAGAGTCACATTTCCAAAGCATGTGCAGTTTTGAATGTGAAAACCCTCACTAACTGCCAGCACCTGGGCAAATTCAAATCGCACACTTGGACGTAAGACTCCTCCCTGCAAATGGGAAGATTGATTGGAAAAATGTGACTCCAGAAACCAGATCTGGGATTGAACTGAAATTGCCTGAAAATGAAAGCATTGGCACAATTAACAAAAAGGGACTGGATTCCTTTATTTTATTTATTTATTTTTTTTTACAGCTAAATCCTGCACAGCTTGCAAACCTTGGGAGGCAGCCATCCTATTATCATTCCTGATATGGACTTGAATTTCCAAGAAATGACTTTTTTTTTAAGATCTGTGGACTTGAACCCCCACTAGAAGCAATCTTAGGAGTCCTAGTCACAATGTTTCAAGAACAATCCTGAGCCAAGAGCCAGAACTCTGAGGGGCCATGAGTGCCCACTGACCCCAAACCAGTCCCTTTCAGGTGTCCTGGAAAACCCAGCTCTGCCTCTAAGTCACCCTCTGCATTGGAACAAGGTAGAGCAGGTCTTGATGTCATTTGAGGGACCCGCAATGTCAGAGGACTGCATTGGCTTGTCACACTGCCTGAAATGTTCCCATTTCAGTGTGAATCACTGAAGTCCCCTGTCTTCTCTAAATCAAAGTGTTTCAGAGGTAGAGACAGGATCTCTAATCTTTTAAGAAGATAAAAAGCTTTTTACTTAAAAACCAAACAGAGAAGGGCGGGTAGTGCCGTGTCTGGTTTTTGGTGTAAGCCTGGAGCATACGCAGATGGTAGGGAAAAGGAAGGGTGCCAAGAAGTCCCAGAGCTTGCCAGAATGGCCCCTGAGTCACTGTTAGAACCTTCAGGAATGAGAGAGGTGAGCCATGGGGCCCAGGGAGAGATGAAGGGCATGATCGGCATGGGCTGGGGCATTCTCATATGTAGCCCCATGGGCGCACCCTGACTATAATAATTGTGGGATTAGGAAGCCATCACCACAGTTTCCAATTCCCTATCATTGTTATTACCACAACCACACCGAGTGCGTGTGCTTTGAATTTTCGGTGAGCCTGCTGGCCCAGAGACACTTCCACCTGCACCATTATTGGTGGCACAGATGGACCACAGTGGCAGAGGGAAGCCACAGGCAGATCATCTGATCCATCTGACAGATCAGACCTCAAGGATCTTGCATTACAGTTTATTCCAGCTCTGCCATGTCTCTTAAGAAGTCCACAATTTTGATTATTTTTTACTTTTAACTGCCCCCCCCTTTTTAAAGGGCATATT